GCAACTCATTCTAGATCGTTTGGCGGTTGAAGCATCTAAGTATGGCATGAGCATCGCCCCATCGAAGTATAAAGTACTGCCCAAGGATTGGATTTCACCTGCTCCCGTGCTCACTCTCGAAGGTGCACAACTTGAACAGGTAGATAGTTTCGTCTACCTTGGGAGCTGTTTTTCTGCTGACGGCACTAGCAATAAAGAACTTTCTCTTCGTAGCGCTAAAGCTCGATCAGCATGTGTCAATCTGAGTCACTTGTGGCGTCGTCGCGACGTCTCATTCTCACTAAAGGGCCGCGTTTACAGCGCATCAGTTTGCTCAGTACGGTTTTATGGTTGCGAGTCCTGGCCGCTTCGCGTGGAAGACATGCGTCGTCTTTCTGCCTTCGATGACGGTTGCTTAACGAGAATCGCTCGTGTTTGGTGGCAACATCGAGTTAATAGTAATGACGTTCGACGTCGCATCTTGGCGAATGCTAGTATTACCTTCAACAAACTGGTTTTGTTGTGCCAGTTGTGATGACTCGGTCACGTCCTACGCATGGCACCTGAGCGTCTACCGCGTTGCGCTCTATTCGCTCGTCAAGGACCTGGCTGGAGGCGATCGCGTGGTGATCAGCCTTCCACTTGGCGGCAGCACATTAAATCGCTGAAGTCATGTCCAGCATCTGTTGGACCCGTACGTCTTCTAGGATGGGGACCCAAAGATGAGGAGTGCCAATGACTTAGCACTCTTGAAGACATGGCCCGCAACCGGAATCAATGGAAGAATTGTGTACAGTATTGTATTGATTCACATGTTTAATACTACAAACATTGACAATGACAAAAAAGAACGAAAGCGGCGTGTGAAAAACAAACTAAAAATGTTTTGTTCTACCTTTTATCGAGATGTTCCATTCTCCCTGCGGCATATTAGTTGAAGTGTGCTGCTCACCTTCAATTAGAATGCCACGATGATTATGACGCGATGACTTTTGCTTATCCGCTGATCTCCATGGTTTTCTGTTGGCTCTTTGTCTAGTTGATAGACTGCTGAGATTACATACATACCATCTTGCAACATGCGTTCTCTCATTACTCCAGTTCTTGCTTCGATTTGACAGTCACCGAATCAAAGCCTATCGCGGCTAACGGGCACTAAACTAACGGTCACGTCCTAGAAGCAGAATTTTCAAATGAATAATGGAGTAAGCCAATATATTTAACCTTGATTCATGCGCGACACGTTATTCGACGTGATCAGTCGGTTACGCAAAATGTACCACCTCGAAAATATGATCTGTAGCGCGCACAGCAATTACACTGTAACAGTTCTATGTATGCCAAAGAAATGCTGATAAATACTTGTGCTAGGATATTGGTTTCAAAATCGGAAATGACTTATAAATACTGTTGTGTTTGTAATTAGTCCGGTCGCTCGTATGCTGATGAATCCATGTGTTACTTTGTAATGTCGAGTCGAAGTCGGCGACGACAAGTTAAATTTCCATGGAACGCGCGCGTCCATAAGCTTTCGGTACTCATAAACTTGACTTCGTTGATTCAGATGCGGCTACTTTTTCTCCTGAATAATATCGGAATCAGTTGTTCATTTTTCTAACTAGTATATCACTCAATGGCTTACTTCCGGTTGCGCAAAACGTGCGTGAGATGACATCCGAATGAAAGCTGTGATGCTTGCAGCTCATTTAGCCCTCGATATAATTTGTTACTGCAGCGAAATTGCACTTAGCTGAATGGAGTGCTAGATACTGCAGACGAGGGTGGTTTGATGCGGAACGATTGAAATGTCCATCGTTTGTAGAAGGAGTATTACAGAAGTGCTGTTCGTAGAAAAGTAAGCCACTAATCATCTACATGTAATCGAGGTATGTTTTCGCAACACGTGGATCTTAGAGAGTGGGTGGCTTGGAAAATTGGACATCTAACAGGTTAACCGATCTGAATTTAACAATACCGCTGTGGGGATCTAAGTTGTCTTAATGTTAATGTTGAAGTAGAAACTACGACAAAGCCTACCGTGATGTGCAATACACAGTGAGTTAGGAGTGGTAAGGGAGGCATGGATGCTAACTGGTTTATAGTATTTTCTAATGCGTATACCATTACAGTCGATCAGGCCCGTTATCTTATAATAGATTAGCGTGTGTGCCAATGTCTTAAAAAGAGCTCCGATACATGGTACTCAAAAATTTGTCAAGTGTCTTAATGCTAGTGCTGACCAGTTTCATGCGCACACTTATCAGTAAAGGAAGAAGCTATAGCAGACTTTGGGTCTGGCTATTGATATGATGAATATGGCCTATTCCTTTAAAGGCAAATAGAATGTATGTTTAGGTGAACGGAGTAATCGTCATTCACATTGGGCTTATTTAGGATTTTGAGAAACACTACAAAGTTGATTTTGATTCTGGGCAATCAAAGAGGATCAAATGTGAGTATTTTGCAACGGCCACGGTAGTTTAACTCGGAGGAGCTCACTAACCGCTTAGTAGGCGAACTTGCCGACCCGTAGCCTTAAGGATTACAAGCCTGCCTTGTAATCCGAGGACACGGGTTCCACTCGACATAGGGACCTTGCGGACCTCGCGGTGTCCTTAATCCACGCGTGACTGGTGGTGCTTGCGCGGCAGCGAAGCGTCGGTACTGCGTACTGGTGTACTGCCGATGCCTTTGTTTGGGCGATCAATGATTCCTAGTTGTTCTGTCATTTTTTCTTAAGTTACTAAACACTAGAGAATAATATTCTAAAAGCGATCAGACAAAAGTCCGCTAACTAATGAGTGTGGCTTCCATGTAGGACAATAGGTTTTCCGAAAATCAAAACAAAGATTGGGAAACTATCCAAATCTGTTATTATATCGCGCGGTATTATTTCATACTGTATACCAATTTTAATCAGTATTCACTGAAACGCTTTTTCAGTGGCTGATTCTTGCTGGCCATCTGCTTGAGTTTATTGGCTCGCAGTCACCCTTTCTTCGTCGTTGTTTGGGCCACTCATCTTAACAGGAACAAATTTGCTCTTTGTTTACAATATCCCGACCCCATTCTGGTCGGTTCAATCGGTCCTTGCAAATGTGAGCAGCTTGTTGTTTTGACGTCGCTGATTGGCTTTCCCTCTCCTCAGGCTGTCTGTTACTTATCTCCGTTTATAAACTGTCATCGCGGCGTTTGCCATTCGCTCCGGGTCAGCGTTGCGTGCAGACCACCATTTGAATATATGAGGTCTGTTTTGCATTTGCCCAAATTTTCAATGCTTGCTCTTACTCGTAAACACGTCAAAAATTAATTGTATGTCCGGGAGTAGGCCCATGGTTTCACACGGAACAAGCCATGCTTCCAGATTTCGACCAACGTTCCTCCTACTTAGCGGGAAGAAAGCGCCTACGTGGACTGACCGAACTCCTCGGCTGCTGATCGAACACCTGTCGGATTTTCATAAGTAGATTGATGTCACAGAGTCAAAGGAAGTTGAATGGACGTTTACTCTTTCAGTGTTTGATAATGACCGGGTATATAGCCTTGGGGACCTTGCACACAACTCATTGCCGCATGTTATGTTGGCTGTTGATAAAACTAATTTTGTAGCAGATCCTGAGAGTCACTTTTCTTGACTCACCCTCAAGTAGATATGCTTCTTTTCGGTGGAACACTTCTTGCCTTTTAAGTTAAACATCTTCATTTCGCTGGCCAAATACTCAGTGTAAACATTAACATGCATCCGCACATATCCTAACTATTTATAAGGCAATTCGTTCGACGTTTGAGAGAAATTTTCGCTAATACTGTTCCGTTCAATCTCTGGCTAACCACTTGACCAACCGTTTTGTAGAGGAAAACCGTTCCTGTTCACTTACTAACGAGTACTACCTACAACACTTTACTATTCAGTAATTTTCCATGCTATGTCCACTTATGACCTCCGGATGGTTGGCGCAATCTGGTTCCGGACTTGCCTATCACTGCAGCTTCTATAAGGCAGCCACAGGACACTTGCGCCTACAGAGGGACCATAGGTGGCTTGCGCTGCACCACCCTCAGCTCCATTCACACACCCCATATCCAGTGTGAACCCGAAGGAATAAGACCGAGAGGCATGTGGATCTGAGCCTCGTTATATCAACGAAATCAGCCCACACTTCTTAAACATGCGCAGCAGCATCATTCCTGTCTATTTAGTTTACTACTCATGTGCACCGGATGTACACAAGGCGATGACTGGCTGGGCCTTAGTCCACACGGATGCATGGAACCACTGTTTGAGCCTAGTGTGGCCTCGAGGACGGTGCACCCCGTCCCTCCAGCAGTCACCAGCTGTCTCCTGGACCCAGTAATCGAGGTGGAGGATGTTAGACAGGTAGGTACCTTTTCAACATTCTCATCAAGCGCAGACACACCGGCGATAGCAAAAATTCAACATAGCATTTAAAGAAAAAGAAACAAGCAAATTTGACACGGAATCTGCAGCAGCATAACAGAACTGATCAAATCAAATAAAGTGGCATAATTTCCATCCAGATTATGAACATTCATTTTGAGTGTAAGTTGGTGTAGCCCAACTAGGGTGAAAAAGCCTAATGTATACATCAACCTAAACATGAGGCATGGAAAATATATTTATTTTCTTTAATATTCTGTGTTTGTTGTTTGATATCCCCGGTATAGCTGCGCTCGATGTGAATGTTGACAAGCTGCAACCTGTAGAGAAACCGCCACCGCGATTATACTGGATACTCTTGCGATATGACCATGTAGTATCGGCACTTGATGTAGCGGTCACTGGTTTGTGAATCACTGTTAAACTTCACGTAATAGTTTTCGCTGATTCCGATAACCTAACAGTTAGTAGTGGGACGAGCTCGTTTCAAAATGTTGTAAACTTATGTTACCATGTCATTTGTTACTAAAGGTGGCTCCTCTATAGTCTTTCACTGAGGTAGATTGAATTCAACGGGTCCTTACCTTTGCAGTAATCTCCATCTTCGTTACTTTATCCTTAGCTCCTCCAGTTGCTCTCATGTGCTCACTTGACAAAGCTGTGTCGCTCACCCCCGCGGAACGAAGGGAACGACTAGAGAAAATAAAAGCAGCTATCATATGTATCCCAGATTTCCCCACACCTGGCGTTCTCTTCAGGTGAGCATTCTTATATGCGGAGTCGTTCTACTAACCAACCCGTAGGGACATCTTCTGTCTGTTCCGGGATCCTGAGCTGATGATCTACATGGTTACAGAACTTAAACAAGTGGCGCAGGAATGTGTCAGCCCAGATATGAAGGTCAGCTCTAGTGCCTGAACGCGCGGCTTTAACACCGGTTTAGATCAACGCTGTGGTTGGTCCAGATGCTCGCGGCTTCCTGGTTGGTCCTCTCTTAGCTATGCACCTGCATTGCGCCTTTGTGCCGGCTCGAAAAGCAGGAAAGCTTCCTGGAGAATGTCGTTCCGTTACATATAACTTGGAATATGGTACTGTAAGTTATTCGGAGACACATCGAATCCTTTTGATTCCATCACATATTTCTCTTAGTACTCATTTGATTATATACGTTTTGGAGTACTTTATTACCTCATTAGGGGTATAAATTTAACATTGATAGTAACTACATGCTTTAACTACGTTTTCAGGATGTATTTCACTTTGGTCGCGATATGTGACGATCGAGCAATACTGCAATTCATCAGTTGGCGTTTGACAAACAACCCTCTGACACCTATCTGTAGTATCTGTCACAGTTGAACCGCTTACATTAGCTACGTCATACTTTCTGGGTTCCTGTTGACCACCTTCCTCGATAAGCACCATATACTCTCATTTCACCTAGCTGAACGGGGCTGCGAAACGGCTAGTCGATGATACAGCGAAAAAGAACTACTAAGTCGACTGAGGGGCTTTGTCAGACTGGCATTTTTGAAAGTGGACTTCGTGAGGTGCCACATCAGTGGCCGAAGACCTAGCTTGACATGGTACAGGCTGGAGCAGCTCCGTCATAGTCCCACCTTCTAACGGAGGCTCAAGTTCGGAATGCGGCAGTTAGAGAGTGATCAATGCTTCCAAGTTACTCGCCTCTGTCGTTCCTTATAGGCTAGCCGGCATCCAACAAAGTCAGATAGGTGAAGAGTGAACCAGGTTTCGCTGTTGTCGGGGCTGTATTAACCACTTCATCACAGTACGTCAGTTGTTGGACCACCGTCATATTCTTTGTCGACTCACTTTACTAGTGTTCCTCGACATTGCCTCGACGTTGCCTCAGATTCGGTGGATCGACGTGCTCTTTAGGACTGTCTACTCAGGAAATATGTGCCTGATGATTATGCGCTTATACACGCATAGTTCGGGCAGAGGGAAAGCTGATGACAAGCTGTCACAACCCTTTCAATACCTGAAGCGATGTGAGACGAGATTTCTCGATGTCGCCTTCCCTTTTTGGCTTCACCATTGAGATAGTCATAGAAACTGCGTTCATCTGGCTTGACCTATAAGATGTGGAGCGGTTTCCAGGTGAGCAACGTCTTTACTTAGCGCTTACCGACGACCTTGCCCAGACGGGCCAGTCAGCAATAAACAAATTAGTGTTGGCTGTCGGTCATTTCGGCCCATACTTTACACCTTCGTAACGCAAAGTTCTGCAAGATTGGCAGAGACCCGCCCCTGCGTTAACTCTTGGTGGTGGTCTGCTAGAAACCCCTCAAGAATTTGACTACTTAAACAGTTATATCTTCACCTGTAGAATAGGAGACGAGACCACGCGTGGTATTGCAAAATCCCGAGACATTTTTACAAATCGCCACCACTTGTGGCGCAGCCGCAATACCGATCTCGATCAGAAAGGCAGAATTTCAACGCGGCCGTGCGTTCAACACTCCTGTACTGTTGCGAAACGCAACCCATCAGATCGACAAACCTAAAGAGGCTTGTTAAGCTCGGCAGTTGCTGTCTTCGTGGCTGAGCTCATGCCTGATAAGAACACTGCTTGGGGAGTGACGGTGCTCGACGTCTCTTTTTTAGTGCAGGAATAGCGAGTGAACGGTCCAGCATCGTTATGTCAGCACATCGACTCCGGTGACATACATTGTTTGCACAACCAGGGTGTGGATGAAAGATAAAGGGGGAAGACCAAATGATGACTTGGTCGAGAGGAATGAAAACCCTCACTTTGAATTTGATATTGGTTAGTGTCTCGTGACACAAGGATACAAGGACGATAAATATGTCCGGTTGGGTACATTTGTTGACATTGCGAAGAGATGATCTCAGCGCATTATTGTTTCTTTGCCTCTCTCCTTCCAATTATCTTTTCCCTCCACTTGATACATAGCATGATAAGGTTACTTGTTTGTAATTTTCATTTCGTATTCTATAATGATTAACATCTCGCGTTTTTAATTGTCCTCTTTTGTATTGAGGCACAATAGTTTAGCTGTTTCTCATCTTTATTTAACTGAAATGATTATGATGTTACGGTCGTCAAGCGAGGCGTGTTTCTGTTTTCGGCTTCTGGCATCTAGCTGCCAATATTTCATCCTGCTTGGTGCTACTCGCTTTTCCATACGTCTTTTTTAAATCCTGTTCGGTAGTTTATCGAATTTTCTTTACAATCGTTATTATTAGGTTGGTAACGCAAGTCATGCAATTAGATCCACTCCACTTCGGTACCGAGGGCATTGTTTCTCTCACCATAGTTATTAGAAATGTAGGTTGCACGCCAGGTGAATACGAACCACAACTGCGCACTGAGTATGTTACCTCGATTGATTACAAACCGTCTGTAAACAAATCGCCAAGCCCGATGAACAAGCCAACATCTCAGCAAGTCTCTTCACATCAGGGGTTTGTTCAAGCTGCCACCCCTGCGGAGCCTAAATATCTTAGGATCTTTCCGCTGATACAACCGACACATCTTAAGCTACCTGAGGGTCATATCCGAGCAATCCTAACCGACCATAAACTGAAATGTAACCATAAAACTAACCTAAGGCAATGTCGAACAATGTGGCGATACAGCACGGCTGTTTCAAGTCAAGTCAAGTCGGAATAAGCTATATACACCCACATGCATGCATTTTCAGCATTTTATCACCAACACTGCATCAACGAGAAATAACCATTGACAGCCATGAACGAGAATTGCGAATTCAATCACGCATACGGTCACGAAAGCGGTGTTTCATTCCCGGTGGGTTGATTAGTAGGTGTGATAAATATGGCAGGATGGAGTTTCGATGCAACAAGGTACGAGAATATAAGACTTTGAATTTTGATCATGTGGACGAAGTAGCGCTACTGCTGGCTAGAATAGCATATAAAGGGTGAGAGGAGTCATTTAAACTCCTGGATAAAAAGTTGATGCATGCATCGAAATGCGTGTTAACAAGGAAATGCATGAGCGGTTCTTTACGTAATCCAGAGCAGCGAAAAACAATCTTTCAAGCATTCCGGGGAAAATAAGTAGGGAACAATATAACTAGTGAGGATACATGCAGTTGCACACTTAAGAATTGAATCGCGGGGAACAGAAAGCATTTTGTGCCTAAGGGCGTAAAAAGATAGCCTTCTAACTTTTTAAAATGTTTCTGGAATATGTGTGAGCCAAGCTAAATTGTTAGAAGGGAAATCCCTGAGATATACGGAGAAACCGGTAAAGGAAAATACCCAGTCAGTCAGGTTTACCTCACATATAAACTATCCTAATGCGCCATAGGGTCGGACGACCGTAGATCGCGAGGTATGCCGAAGTGTACGTGCACGTAGATTGCGATCGTGAATCAAGCAGGCAGCGATGCGCACAATCACAACGATCCAGTGACAACCAAGGAAAAATCATGGAAGACGAGCTCGAAACCAATCGTTATATATTTAGTTAATTAAAACAAGGTTGTACAACAACCGCAGCTAAATAGATAAGCGTGCAACTAAAAAATAAGCAAATTATTTACAGTTGCTACAGAGATTTTAAGGTAGATGTGCGGGATATGCTTTGGTTATCCACAACCGTGGGAGAGGAGATATGCACTAGGAAATACAGTCTGTAAGGATGTAGATATGAGAACGTTACTTCCTGACACTTGGATGGGATGAGAGAGAGGGACCGCGAGCTCGACCAAGTCGCTAGTTCGTCTAAGGCTCGTTGAAGCTTCAAAGAGTCCTCTAAGACTGGGGTTACGCAATCCAGAACGACGTCATCAGCATATGTACAGCCTATGAACTTTGGTGAAATAGACTTTCAACATAGGCGGAGAAGAGGAAGGGAGATAAGATGGCTCCCTGCAACACACCACAATTGCCTGGGAGTACCGAAAACTTTCTGCTGTATAGCTGCTTGAAGTGGGTGCGCTTTGTAATCACGAATCACACTATACACATATGTCGCGACGTCATTATCAGACAGAATGTTAAGCGGTAATGATCTGTCGAGGCTCCCAAAGGCTCTGGTGTAATCAAAATATGAGAGCCATACATTCTTGCATCTATTAGCTAGCGTTAACGCAGTGGAATGCACTAAATAAGAAACTATATCCAATATAGAACGCCTTGGTTTATAAGTAAACTGTTTAACATCCTTAGCATGATTATTTGTGAAACTGTGGGGAAGTAGCGTATTTTCCAGCGCATTTAGCAGCGCGGACGTGCACGCAATTGACCGACATTTCCTAGATCTACTTGTAAGCACTGGTGTTATTCTGGGTGATCTCAAAGTGACTGGTATTGTGCCAGTCATTAAGCACCGACTCAAGATCTCTGTCAAATGTGTCGTTAAAACATCTGTGCATTCTTTCAGAGCGATTGCTGATAGAGCATCCGGTCCACTAGCCATGTTTGACTTCAACCTTGTAAGCTCCTCGCACATACTTGTGGAATCAAATAAAGTGGGAGGCTCTGTAGTTTTGAGGGTAGTCAGGGGGAATGTGTTAGGTGATGAGAAGCTACACTCGGCGTTGAGTTTATCTGCATCCTCGATGTAAAGCCTTCTGAACGAATGCTTTCCAGAGACTTATCTTAGAAGTCTCCACAGGTCACGACAACTCTGATTGCTTAAAACGGTCTGAATGTACTGAGTGTTTACCCATTTTATTTCGGCTTTTATAGCCAGGGACAGACGTTTAACACGAGCACCTAGCTTACATTTGTAAGCCTGTTCTTTTTTCCTCCGCAGTTGTTTGAGCAATGGAGATTCAAACCTGTCATTTCGCGAATAGATTGTCTCAATATGGCAACATAGATCAAAACAGAAGTTCATGTTGCCTGTGAGGTGTTTGCATTGAGCTGCCAAGTATTCATTAGTGAAAATTGGCAAACCAGTTATACAAAGTATTGATCTGAAGTTATCGACGTTATCTGCTGAGCATTTGCTTCGCTTAACAGTTCTGGATGATCTCTTCCTCAGAGCAACATGGTTGGCCTTACTGTATAGCTCGGGACATAGGTTTACTATTCAATAGTCTGAACTACCAAGAGGTGAACGCTTTTATGTAG